GAAGGTAGACAACATGGTGGGTGGGTTAGACTGTTCCTGTGAAAACTATCGTAAGGCTAAAGAGGAAAAAAACCAAAAAACCCCTTCTGTCTAAAATTAGAAGTGCCATTAACAATACATCAATCTGTTGACTTTGTGTGCTTTTGGCACTGATGCTTGCAATGGTCAGGACTGTGTATAACAAAATATCCACTGGTTTTCTGCAAAATTCACATCTCAAATATTTTGCCCTGTTGGATCAGAGATCTTTTTGCCTTAAAAGCACATAGAGCACTCTGTGTTTATGATCAGACTTGTTGAAATGTCAAGGCTAATTACACTAGTGTGTTCCCAAGTGGATAAATGCATCTTTTAAAGCATATCCTGTTGAGCTGAGCACAATGAGATTTTTGGCATGATCACTTGCAAACTACTTCAAATAAAAATTGTAATAAAAGGCAGAATCTAAATGTTAGAAGGTAGAGACAGGAGAAACCTATTAGTTTAGCTCATCTATTCTACACTGGGGCAAAATACCTTTTTTAATATTCTTCTGTGGAGTGATTTCTTTATTTGGTCAGGCCAGTTCTAGATGTTTGAAAAACTAGAGCCTCCAGTACTTCCTTTTTTTTCCCTTTTGCTCTGATTTATTTCTCTTCAGATCTGTTTTTGTATGTAAATTTTGGCCAGACACTGGGGTTCAATATTGTTACCGTTTGGGCAATTTATATTCCATCTTTAAAGTGGCACAGAAACTGGGGAGCCAGAGCCTCACCAAAATGAATGTGACTTGGCTTCTGTTGCAGACATCACTTTTGGATGCTTGGGTCTTTCAGAGAAACCACGTTGCCCATGTCTGCATTTGCATACCACCAAGCACAATGCTGACCTAATTTAGAGCTCCTTCATGTTACACCAACACAAGTGGATCATATTCCTTCAGACACAGTACTCTTTGTGTAAGAATGCTGTATTTGGAGTCTCCAAAATGCAATAGCTTGCTTATCCACTGCTTTTGTTTCCATAAGGGAATTCTGTGTGGTAGTGGTGAAATACTAGCTAGGCTTGGTCTGCCTTCCACTGAGATCCAGGCTGTTGCTGGTGTAGGCAAGGCATCCCATCCTTTGGGAACCTGCTAGATTTGAAAAGGCTACTCATAAGATGAGGATTTTGTTATGCTGGTAGAAGCTGAAATGTGCTCCACATAAGAGGACATGGTGTTTACATCATATTGGAAATGTACAAACAGAATAAAATACTTCCCCAGGTGTTTGCAATATGTTTCTAGACAGGCACATTGGCTTGTGGTGACTGGTTTTGTTTTTAAGTCTTGGCTTGATAATGGCAAAATTTGTCAGGATTTCTTTAATCATTGGTAATAGTGCACGTGGATTCTTCAGGATATATGCTGATCTAAAAAATAAAACAATTTCCTGAGCTCTTGAGGGTAAGTCAAGGCAGCTGATTGTAGTCTAAGTGAAATACTATGACTAGAAAGTAACAATAAAATAAATCATCTCAATTAACTTGGAAAGCATGTAACTACTACTGAATTAAGTTTGGGATCTGACTCATTTTAATTAACATTGCATAAAGTTTAAATAAAATTTTTAGACTTTTTTTTTCTAGTTATTCTTTTTAGTTATTTTTTCTTGACTTTTCCAAACCTATTTTCAATGCTTTAACTCTCCCATTTAGTTTTATTTGTATGTTTTCTTTCTGTTTTGTGTTATTTCTTCTTTGCGTTCTGTCTTGTACAACAGCTAAACTCTGCAGTTATGTGGGATAAAATGGGAGTTAAGCACAGTTGTAAACCAAATCTTGAGCCATGTGGTAAGGGAGAGGCCATGACAGTAAATAATAACAATAGTAAAACTGATTGTGTTAAAACACCGAGAACTACAGGTTCAGAGCTTCAGTGTGTTCATTTATAAAAAACATTGATGGTAAGAGTTGGGGCCATGCTTATGGTCATTTTAAAGATAAATTATTTTTACCAAGGCTGGTCCAAAGCCCATTAAAATCAAAGGTGAACAAGTGTGTGCGGGTCAGACCCTTGGTGCCCACTGTAATGGTGCATAGTGTGTTTTCTTTTTTCTTCTTATTTTTGAGTTTAGTTAATGTGCCTCTACCGTCCTGTAGTGACAAGTGCGTGTGGTATTAGTCTCAGTAAGCCTTGCTCTGCATGTTTGAATTTGTTCAAGGGGTTTGGTGAGTTAATTTTGGGCTAACTCTGGTGCCAGTCAGGTGCCATCTGCCTTCTGCCAGCCAGGGAAAGTAAAAACCCACAGCAGGTGGCAGAAGGTGTGTGCTGTGCTGAAGGGGCAGCAGTGAAGCAGAAGTGGCTGGAGCTGATGGATGAGCCTGAAGCCATGGCTGTGCCAGCATAACGTGACAAGGATGACAGTCAAGTAGCACCCATTTAGCATGTCCTAGTCATGTGGGACTGAGGGGCTAATGCACAGCCTTGTTTCTGCACAGCTTGGGCAGGTTCCTGCACCCCTGCAGAGTGCAACTTAATTTAATGGAGCTCCAGGTGGCAACAGAGCTCTGTGCAAGTATGTTCATTGCAGGGCTGCTGTAGACTTTTTGATATTGTTGAGTGTGTCCCTTTCAGGGGTGTAATACATACCTGCGGCTCTGGAAAAAGGTGAATCTATAAAATGAGCCAGAAATCTGTCTGTAAATAAAAGCATAAACCTCAATGTTAATGCAAATCACTTGCCACTGAATTAAAGTTTGGGGTCTAACAAATTATAATAAATATCTAGGGCATGAAAGTAAATGCTTATCTGTAGAGGAAACAAAATTACCTAATTTTCCTCAATAAAATCCATTCAAGTAGTGTAGTTCAGTCAGTGTTTCTAAAGTGTTTGAAGATCATCAGATAACCTCCTTGACCTGGAGAAGGGAGAGTGTCATGGAGAAAGCCATAGTTAATGACCTGGGTAGGATAATTACAACATGCGTTTACTGTTCCCTGCTCCCTCTCTGACCTCCACTATCATTCTTAAATGCTCTTTGGCTCTTTAGCAAAGGCTCTTCGTCCCTTTTTCCTTCTCTTTGGGTGTCTTCAAAAGATACTGCTGCAGGAGTATAAGACTGGTGGGCTTTGGGAGACATAAGCAGGTGGAAGGAATCTGTGAGGAGTAAATAAGTAATTTAGATTTAAATGTCAGTGTGGGAAGCAGAGGTAAGGAGAGAGAAGAAAAAATATATAGATGTCTGTAGGATGAGGAAGTAAAAAGATATTGCTGAATCTAGACTGATCCATAACTCTCCATCTCTCCCTGGGTGCCTTGTCCCTGCTAGCTGCTTTCAAAAATGGTTCATGTGGAGGCAGAGGGAGGGTAGGTATGTACAGCAAAACACCAAGAGAGGAATTCTGAGGTAGGCAAAGACTCCGCTTATCCCTCTGTCCTAAATCTTAAACTGTAGTGGGAGTAGGTAATTGAGGGTTAGAAGTTGTGGTCAAGGGAGGAGGCAGCTGTGTGAACTGAGCATCTCATTCTGGAAAGAGGATGAAGCCAGATCAAACTACATGGGGACAGATGGCCCACATCAGAAACCAGATGGCCCACTGAGTCCCACCACTCCTCCTATGAAATAGCAAGCAGAGGAGAAGCCCACAGTGTAGTCCAAAATGTTTTTACACTCTTATGTAGGGGCCACTCATGGATTGTGAATGATGTTACACCTAGGAATCCAGTCTGTGATGGCTGATTCATAAGCCAGCATGGGCTGATTACAGAAAGGGTGACAGATCTGAGACCCAGCTTTTAAGAATACATCTACATGTTTGTAGATGTATTCAGGTAACATACTTCAGTGGCTTTCAGGCCAGGCTTTACAGGCTGTGCAGATGTACCTTGTAAAATGCTAACACCCAGTTAAGTCTTTATCTAATTGATAATATCCATGGATGATCATTGCAACTGATTCTGGGTGTAGTTATGAGTAATTGTCTGCTAATTTACAAGCATGTGCAACCTCTCTTATCTCTTTCATTTCTGGGGTTGTCCACTTCATGGACTTGAGCACTGTAACCTAGAAATTCTTCTAAAGCTGCAGCCAGGGTAGTGTGCATGCACCCTGGTTCAGGCACCCCTATTGTGGCTGGTTGCCCTTCTGATTCATGGCAAGTGTAATCTCTATAATATCAATATTAATCTATGTGTTTTGCAGCTCTTATTGTGTCTGCATTTGTGAAGTCTTGCCTCTTGCTTTCATGGAGGTAATAAGAGCCATCCAAGACTTTGGAAACTTAAAATATGAACTGAGAATGACGTGAAGGAAAGCAGATTTATAGCTAAGATGTCCCACTAATCCAAACCCCATCTGTCTGGTACCCTGTCCTGGGAACAGATTTCAAAGTGGTTCTGAAATGCTAATCTAGTACTGAAATTTTGATCTACTATTAATGTCAAGATTATTATGAGATGTTTTTTACATATGTGAACGTACATGAAAACTTGCTGGGAGGGGTTTGTGTGTTTTGTACACTGGGCTTGTATTTTTCAAATTAAAAGCTTAAAGTTCTGTTGATCATTAGGGCAATGTAGTACCCTAATATATAAGTGCAAGCACCTTCCAACAGTGCATTAAGCAATGCAGCTAACTCGTCAGCAAACTAAATGTAAAGACAATACAATCCAGACCAAATAGGTTTGGCTAGCACATCAAATGGAGAGATGTTTTCCCTTTCTCATTAAATCTGGCACAGTAAGGATAGTGATTAATAGCTATTAAAGCCAGTCAAGTTTGAAAGCATTAGTCAGCTTGTTTCTCAGGAGGGGCTGTATCTGGGAGGAAACTAGGGTTTCCAATTCTTGTGTCCTGTATGCTGAACCATGGAAGTGTGTGCCAAGGGCTCTTTTCTTGTCTAGGAGCTCCAATCCCAGTGCACATCTCTGTATCTCTAGTCTCAGACACTAAATGCATTTGAAATATAATGCCATTTTTTCTGATGCACCCATATTAAATGTACAAACATCAAATGTCCCTAATTGAAACATTTGTAGGTCTGGTTTAGTAACCGGCGTGCTAGATGGAGGAAACAGGCAGGAGCCAATCAACTGATGGCTTTCAACCATCTGATCCCAGGAGGATTTCCACCCAGTGCCATGCCAACTTTGCCGACGTACCAGCTCTCTGAGCCCTCTTATCAACCCACTTCAATACCGCAAGGTACAGTAGCCAGCAGGTACTTGGTTAAAATAGTGTTGGGAGGTTTGCTGTGTTGGTCTGTTGTAGAAGGATTTTCTAATGAGAAAAAGGGGTGTTGGCTAATTTAGGGTCTGAGAAAGTGAGGACTTTGCAAGGCTATTTATTTGAAGCATGTAAGAACTTGGGTTTGTTTTGCTGCAAGAAAAAGCTGGTTACATGTGAAGGCAGCTAGCTAGAGAAATAATAACCTCCTGCAAGACAGAGGTGCAGCATTGATAAAGCGAGGTAGATGCTTCCCTGCCCTGGTGTGGTGGGGAAGGAGGCAGAATTTGATTCTGTCTTCTTTGTTACTTTTGATGATGGTGCACTGGAAACTTAGGTAAGTACTCTGAATATTTATCTCACCGTGAAAAAAACCCCACTATTTAGACTACTTTATTTCACATTAGATAGTAGCAAGTCCACTATGACAAAAATTTTGTCTTAATGTTATCAGAAACTCTCTGAAATTTGATGTTTTGGGGTTCTTTTTGTGGGGCAGGGAGGAACAGAGCTTTAAATCTAGGCTATGCTAGATTTCACTGTGAAAGAAAAACCTTACAGCTGAAATTTTATAAAACAAATTACTGTATTCTCCTTGCTCCCTTCTTGAGATTTACATCCTAACTGTTGGTGGATGTTCTAATTAAGGGAATTTTTTAAAGCCCAAGGATTCTTCCATCTGTTATGAGGTTCACTGCAAACCATGGCAGAATTTCTGTGCTGTGACCAAGAGAGGAAAGCCCCCTACTAGTCCTTTCAGCAAATAAAGCTTTTCATTTTTTCTTTCTTTTATATGTATCTATCTAAATAAATATTGCTGTATCAGTTCTTGACAATATGTGCCCATTAAGGATTGTCTGACAGCTGTGTGTCTTGATTTTATTGTCTAAGAATTTTTGTGTAATCTTACTTGCCAGTTAAAGATCTAGCAGTATTAAAGATTTACCTTTCTGCTTATCTAGTGTTCAGATGCAGGTTCTGATGCAATTCTGTCAAGCTGAGATTCACATAATGAATTTATTATGCCAGGAAAAGAGGAAAACATATCAACATGTTTCTTTTGCTTCTAGCCGTGTCTGATCCAAGCAGTACCGTCCACAGACCTCAGCCTCTCCCTCCAAGCACTGTACACCAAAGCAGCCTCCCTTCGAATCCAGAGAGCAGCTCTGCCTATTGCCTACCCAGCACCAGGCATGGATTTTCCAGCTATACAGACAGCTTTGTGCCTCCGTCCGGGCCCTCAAATCCCATGAACCCTGCCATTGGCAATGGCCTTTCACCTCAGGTCAGTCCTGTGTTTTCAGACAGAGGATTTGCTGTATACCAGAACCAAAGAGTCTATTCCCTCAGGCCGCGGTATAATGAATTGCCAAATTTAAACCATAATGTATTCTTTATACAAGCCACATGATTTCAGTTTGCTAGTTTCCTTCTTTTTTTTTTTTTATTTTTTTCCTCCTACTGGCTGAATTGAGAGTCATAGCTTATATTTAATTTCCAGCGATTTATAATGTAATCATGCAGTCTTCATGTTTAAATCCAGTCATCAAGCATTTGTAATGTTACTGCTATTCTCCTGAAAGTCCATGGCTAGGCACAGAAAGTAGATCATGTAGTTTTTCTGTGAATATATGTTTAAGATAACCTCACCAAGGTTTCACCCGATGGCTCAGGAAAATTACAGGCGAGTTGTATGATGGGAGTTCCAGGGGCTGAGCAGTGTGCATTGAGATGAGCCATAATCGAGTTATAAAGACATAAATTGGGACTATTACTTCTCTTTGGCAATATATAAATGCATGGATACCATAATTGTTTTTCTAATTTGTGTGAGCTCCTTTAGGAAATTGTGTTAATAAATTGCCTTGATAATTGAGTGTCAAAAGGTTGGTTAAATTTTCCTACAAGCAGCATCCATCTGAAGCTGACATTATTAGTTAAAGCTTGAATAGATGGTAGTTTATTTTTTTAGCGAGAGCTTTGCTCAGGTGCTTGGAAAGCAATGTCCACTAAATTCTGAGAAGTCACAAAGAGGATGCAATCTATAATTACAATCAGGAATCTCTTCAGGGCTGAAAGTGAGAGTTTTAACAGCTTTATCTGCTTTCTACCCTTTTTTCCTCTCAGTGGTTAGAAAAACACAGAGAAGCTCAGAATGACACAAATGAAAAGTGAAAAGACAATTATACTCAATTACACACTAATCACTGACTATCACCACTGCCTAAGCAGGGAGAGGGCATTCTAATAGGCAGAAAATGAGATTTTAATGGCACAAAGGGTGGCCAAAATAACGACTCGTATATCTTTGCCTCCTTCGTTTTCTTCAACTTGTGGTTTGCATCTCGGGAGTACAGTTCCTGGTTCCTGTGCAACGGTGATAACTCTGTGCAGCTGAAAAGTTCAAAGGCACTGGAGTTGAAAAGAATGAATAACAAAGGCAATGAAATAAACATTTTTGCCCAAAGGCAAAAGTTCATAAACCCTTTTTTGTAACAGTAAATGTAATTAAGATTCACAGATTCCTGTAGCATAGAGTGGAGTACAAAACTTTATGGCTTGAAACCTCAAGAAAAAGATACCAACAGAAAAACAAACGGATGTACTTTCAACAAGACTTGAATGAATTTTGTTCTAAAGGATTCTTATTTCTAAATGCAATCTCCAAGAAAAGCCATGACATATTAGTTGCTTCTTTTTTTATGTATATGTACTTTTTTTTAAGTGCTCAGTTTCACAGTGCACAAGCCTTCCATATTTTTGACATAAATATCTTTCTGCGATTCAGTGTTAATCTATCAAAAGTAGTTGTTAGTGTCAGTTTAAATGTATGTTAGTCCTGGCTATGGAAAATGTGATCTTTTCTTTCCTTTCACAAAGCTGTTATTGTCTGTGACACAGAAGTGGAGTGCAACAGTAAAGAAGTCTTGTGATGTCTGGGTAAAGCAGGATAAGAAAGTGAGGCCAGGTTTCCTACCCACAAAATCTTGCTGATTTGAGGTTTGATATAATCAAAAGGAGATCCCGGAGCAGATTAGATTACTTTAATCAGCTGCTGTGCTGCTTTACACCCAGCCCTGTCTTTTTTGCTATGAAGTTTCAGTTGTTACAGCCTTTTTTCCTTAGAAAAGTTTCCTTAGACTGTTGAAACCTTTTTCTACCCCAGCACTTAATGCTCCTGGCTGTGTCCTTCATCTCTACCATCAGGTTTAGGAAAAGGCCAGTTGCTCAAAAGCTGACATTATGTGGTTGTCACTGAATGCATACAGGAGATTACTTATATCCATTTAGATCTTAAACAGCTTCTTGGCAACTGAGTGATTATCTTCACTGGCTAATAAAGATCTTTCCATCAGAAAAATCAAACCAGCCCTAAATTCATGCAGTGTTACCAAGAGCTCCTCTAAAACAGTTTTGGGGCCTAAACAATGACTTAGAGCTACGTATAAAATGTATGTATGTATAAAGAGACATACCTAGACTTTGTGTTTATGTAAGGGAGTGATTCAGCCTCAGATACGTAAATTGTGGGACTGTAGTAAAACAGTGAATGTGGTTTTTTTATGCCCAAAAGATCCTCAGACGTTGATCATGTATGTTGAGAAATCAGTGTGTGAAATGCCCTTAGCCATGGGGTATGTTGCAGTGCATCCCCCTATCACTTCCCCTGGGCTCTTCCCGCACGCACCCAGGTGCTGACCGAGCAGCTGAAGTAGCAGTGGCTGGAAAGTTGAAAGCCAATTCTGCGTTGGGGATTTAAGGAAGAAAGAGAAACAGGAGTTTTCCTGCCGAGTGGGCATGTTGCAGTGCCCTGCCTGTGTGCGCGGAATTTAGATGAGAAAGAAAGAGGGTCTTTTTACTAGCCAGTGAATTTCTGACCACAATAAATCTGGGTGTGTGAGCAATTAGCATAATGTTTCCACCCATCTATGTCTCCTTGCAGGCAAGTGCTCCGGACTTACTGTGTAAAGCTGAATTTATGGTGACTTTAGGAGGAGCGGAGGAGACACTTTGTCTGAAGCCCAAATAATCTTTTGTGATTTAAAAGAAACCCAACCTTAGAATGTGCAGAACAAAATCTAATATTAAGATTCATGGCTTCATATTCTTACTAGGCTTAAACCTCCTTTTCTCCTTTGACTTCAATTTATTCTAAATGAAGGTCTGACATGCAGACCTCCTGAGAAGCTTCATTTTCTGCACTGGAGGTTTCCTTTCTAACTTTGCTCTTGAATAGGATGTACAAATATGTTGTTTAAGGCAAATGCTGGGAGGACAAAAGGAGATGGCTAGGGTGCTGTAATTTTATTTTTATTGTGTTAGCATTAGCAAGTTAGAAAAGATTACATGTCTTGGTCAGTTTCAGGAAGCAGAATGCTCCATAACATACCTGTCTTGTAGGCTGTGTAATAAAATGTTGCTATTCTTGTTAAATAAAAGTAAGAGAACAGAAGTCCACCTTATTAATATTCAGCACTTACCTCTAGACAAGGTCTGCAGATCTCCTCCAGATGACTGATTATTCTCCTTGTTTATTGGGTTTACTCATTGCTACCTGGCTGTGGTGAGTGAACCTGTACCTTACAGACCTGCAAAGTGTTGACTTTTGCAGGAATAAGACAGGGATTAATGTCTCAGGGAACTGGTAACCAGGAGTGTCCTTGTTTGTATTTCATGGAAAAGCAACTCAAATATAAGCTCGCCATCTCAGCCAGAGCTCTTTCAATATGTTAGAATGGAGATTATTAGTGTGTAATATATGTAAATTGCATATTTTTATGTTTTCTTATGCCTATTATGCAGCTTCTTGGCTTTCATGTGTACGTGTATGGGAATATTGTATTTCCTTTTCAAATTAGGTTTCAGTTGCTCAGTGCATTTTCTTTAAACAAACATCTGTTAACTCAAAATTATTAGGGGGTAGCATATCCATGTCTTAATATGTGTGTACAGGACTTGAGCGTCCTTCTGAATTGGCGTGTCACTTTCTGATCCCAGCATTAACGGTCTTTACTGGTTCCTCAATGTGAAGCAGAAAAGTGATTGCAAAGCACTTGTCTCACAACTGCAGGTGTATGGTCTTACTAGAGAGGAGATTGTTTTTAAGACAGGATATCAATATTTTGAACTGCTTCATTTAAGATAAGGAAAAAGACTTTTCCGGTGTACATAGGCATCCCCTGACCTTGTCATGTGCTTTTTATTAGCATCAAACCAGCAGTTTGCGCTCTACCAGGTGGTTCAGGCAGTTCACTGTTTTGGACTGCTTGTGGATTCAGGTGGAGCAGCAATGCTCTGCTCCCATTGCTGCTGGGGAGGTCGCTGACTTCCTGTATTTAACCTGTAGGATACCCAGGTTTAAAGAGAACTACATGTTATGTTTGTACTGGAGGAAGAATAAATGTATATTACCTGTTTCCTGCTGGACATAGCTTTTCTCCTCCTTGCTCTCTAGAACACTTCTGAGGTCTGCTTTTTCCTTTTCTTTGTCATCTTTTCCCATAACTGAGTCAAGCCAGTAGCTTTAAAGTTTCAAAATGAGAAATGGGTTGAATGTTGAATGGGTTGTGTAGAAGATTGTAACAGTCTTTAACAAAGTTCACAATTCTCATGCCATTACCTGGAGCTCAGGAATAACCTTGATAAGAAAAATCCAGACTTTTCTGTGAACAGTAGTAAAGTTGCAAGCTGTTTCAAGGTTTCTTTCTTTTACTGTCAAAACATTTTGCTGCCTGAGTTTAAGAATTATTCTGTAACTCTCTTTGTTGAGATAGATCTTAAGACTTAGTCTTTGAGAGCACTTGGTTTTCATTAACCTGAAGTATGGATCTGATGGCAGCTGTCGAACCAGTTAGATATGTTTGATAGATATTGTTAACCCTGTTAAGTAGATATTGTTAACCCTGTTTTTAAGGGTAACACAGGAACCAGTGGCTAAAAACTTTCATTCCCTCATTAAGAAGGACAAGAGGAGGGGGGGAAAAAAAAGCAACTTATTAATTTATTATACTTTTTCCTATGCTTTCTGTCCAACTAATTGCCCACAGAAGCATTTCATTTGGATCCAAGTCCTGCACCAATGAGAAGCTCATGATCTCTGTCACAATGAACTTGACTTTGAAAGCTCTTCACTTAATGACTCAAGAACATGAGACAGAGGTCAGGGATTTCTTTGTGAGGAAGAAAATTAATTCACATGATATAATTTCTGTGAACATGAGTTTTTGTTTTGTCATGTGTTTGGTTTAGGTTTTTTTAATTAAAGAAAAAGTTCAGGCAGTGGTA